AACGCTCTAACAGTGCCTAGAACTTCACCAGAAAGACATGAGATCAGTGATTGAATTTCTCTATGCACGAGATCGCATAACGGTTATGAACAAGAATTTCGAACAGGCTTATAAAATTCTTAAACTCGGCAGATTTTCCACTAAACTTGGGAAGACGTGCGTGGAGCTGTAACGGACATGGCTGTAAGCGTTGCAGGCCTTAATGTCTTGATAATCTTAGACGAGCTCTTGTAACGACAAGAAGTTCTTCGAGCTCGGCACGATACTCATCATCTGGGTCAAAAGTTTCTACTCGAGTCTAATATTTTAAGGCTGCAGCTATATGTGAGGACAGCATTTCTAATCTACATTCTAACTCTGCAGACTCTAGGTTTAATTTAACCTGTATTATTTGATTATTTAAATGCATTATGCCTTTAACGGACATATTGCTATTCTTTTTTGAATATCCAAAATTTTCCTAAGTAGCCATATTGATTCTAAATTCCATTTAATAATTATTAATTTGAATTAAAATCGAAGTTGCCAAACGAATTAAAAAATCTGATTTTCCTAATCAATAAAGCGAAGGACAGCGATCGTCTCTTGACCGAAACGCGCCAATAAAACAAAGCGGAACGAAATGAAACGGGTTGCAGCTGGCTTGCTATGTACGTGTATATGTATGCGTGTACTGTATTAATTTAAAATTGCTTGGTCTCGGACAACTGTATAATTTATAGTGGCTGCGAGTGATAGCAAGAGGGGGGACCTGACAAGCGAAATGAAATTGTAGTGATAATTAAATTTTGACACTAATTATCATTCCCATTACTAAACTGCACAAATACTAAATTTTATAAAAATATCTAAGGCGGTTAGTAAGTGCATGCACATTTTAATTACAGTTCCTGCTGTTGCAGACATTTCACTTTGAAATCTACTTTCCTTGACATTCTCCACCGATGGACAGATAATAAGCATTGGTCTTCGGCCGACGCGATTTACTTTGAATGGTTAATTTGAAGTCACTCGCGAGTCACAGCTTTGCACTTAAACCACACAATCCACCCGGGGGCGTTATGAAAAATTATATTAGTTTATATAATTAAAAACGAAATACGACGAAATGGCGGTGGCTTTAAAAACACTGGTTATGCGGTTTAGTACGTTTCGCTTTGATATAATTCGACAACTGACAATTTAAGCCTCAATTAAGCAAAGGCGGCGCAGCACGGCGAAATCGCTTCCAGAGCGAGTGATAAAGCTTTATTGCGCTCTCGCTTCACCCTAAACCTAACTAACATGCATGAAACATTGCTGCATATGGTGTTGGTAGTAGAGGGTTCAGGGTAATCCCTTGCTCAGGGTACAACTAGAAAGCCACAACACAAATCAGGCTTCGAATTATCAGAATATCACTAATGACCCACTGTATGAATGAAAACCGCACACCAAACTTGGATACAACAATACTACAGAAAGAACAACACTACAATAAGCGGTGTACATTGGAAATGTTTTTTATAATAAACACACCAAACATCGAACGACTAAGCTACAAAACAGAAAATTACACTCATTTGTATACACTTATTAAATAACCAAATAGTTTTAATCTCCAAGTCAGCTAAAAATAAAACGGTGAAATACAAATTGAAACAAACTTGTATTTTTTATTGTGTTGAATGAAACTCCGAGCCTCAGGCTTGCCAAACAAATATTTAGAAGCAGTCAAATTTTGTTTTTAATTTAAAGTTTGAATCAATAAAATTTAAGCTAGGACGGTGGAAGGAACAATAACATTTAAGGAGCTTTCAACACTAATGATTCAAATAGACGACCCAAATTATTCAAAATTCTTTACAACAGGGTACATCATATACATCATAATTTTCTTAAATTGTCAATGTCAAATGTCATTAAGTTTTGAACATCTTAGGCGATACATGCAATCCAGTAAACTTGAAGCGTAAATTGAACTAATACAGCTAAGCTTTATACTATTTTTTCCAACTTATTCCCTGGCTGCTCTAATAACATGTCTTTTGTGTTTAATTCATGTTTATTCAACTGCACAATAAAAGTATTGCATCATCAAAGTTATATATGGTTCGTGGTTCAATGGGGCGATAACTAACATGCTGGGAAGTTATATTATCGGTATTAGCTTAAATTAAAGTCAAAACATAACATTTCTTCCACTTCCTTGGGACTAGTGAGAATATAATTCTTGGTTTATGTACTCGCGTCGAGCGACATACAGTTTGCTCTGTTCGCGTTGGTTGGATTTGTTTCCTCCTCGGATTTGATTGATATATCTTTTGTAGAATTTATTGTTATATCTTTTCCTTGATGATTTCTGGTCTGATCAAATCTACGCGCTGACCTAATTTTCGATCCAAGAAAAGTTTTGCTGGTGATAAGCCAATTATGCTATGCGGGCAGTATTGCTGCAAGAATTCGTTTACGTTTTTATACCCTAAATCCATTAAAAATGGGTATAAGGGTATATTGTATTTGTGCAAAATCCAAATGTATGTAACAGGCAGAAGGAAGCATCTCCGACCCCATTAAGTATATATATTCTTGATCAGCGTCAATAGCCGAGTCGATCTAGCCATGTCCGTCTGTCTGTCTGTCCGTATGTATGAACGTAATGAATTCAGAGCCTATAAGAGCTAGAGACTTGAAATTTTAGATGTAGGTGCCTGCACCGATCGAGGTTGTTTCCGATAATCGATAACTTAATCCGTATATACCAAATGCAGGGTGTTGAAAGAAGAGGGTTCAGGGTATCCCCTAGTCGGAAGCTCCCGACTCGAACCTCTTACTTGTTTTTCAATGTGGTAGATGATTTGAACTTTTCTTTCTCCTTGATCGTCTGTTGTGGAGTGATAACTTGCGATGTACGACGCCAACAGATGTAAGGTACTTCATGTGAATGCGCTCTTATGACGACTTGATCTTCCCAATAGTGATCGGAGCATTTTAGAGGTCGCTTCGAATGTTCGCATGTAGAATTGTCGTACTTTATCGCGCAGATGTTTGTGTAATGTTAACAGATTTGGTATAAACTTTGAGTAGTAAGCTTATTTTCCAAGAAACAGTTGCCGGTGTTCGATTGGAGATGGTTTTTATTCTTTAAAGTTGTCCTCAGTCTGCTTTATTAATTTAATCTTGTGTCTCAGGTTCTATTATTTTTCTAATGTTGCTTCTAATGTACTTATCAACTCATCAACATTATTCGCAAATGTTAGAATATTATCAAAGGAGTTACGAACGTTTGGAATATTTTTTTTTAATGTGACTTTCATTGTTTGCTGTTATCTTCGCTGTTTCGTACACTGCACGAGTGGGTAGAATGTGATCGTGTGTTTCCAAGTTTAACGTCAGTACGTGTGCGAAGTTTTTTTCAATACGCAAATATAAATATCCATTAGTCGCACCCAAGTGTGCAAGCAATGTGCATTCATTTGTTTGGTTTAATATGCCCGGTCGGGTGCCTGCTGCCACTGATTCGTGTACCTTCGTTACCACATTGATTACCCATATTGAGTACCCAACTCGTTTGTAGATGCCCTCAGCCATTTTTGCGTCGATCTCCTCGGCATAGGCATAGCGCAGCGCAAATGGTGCACCTCTTGCACTTGCTTCCTTGATTCAATCCGCTTAAAGGCTTCTTGCTGATTGGCGAAAATCCCACTTTGGGCTCCGTAAGTCACTAACCCTTTTTGCTGATCGTAGTATGCAGCTATGTCTGCGTCTGCAAATGCTGATGGCTGCTAGCGATTGCCTTATTGCAAGTGCTGCGATTTTGCATGCCAAACAGCATTTGTTCTTTAGCATTCTGTCTAGAAACGAGCCGCACTTGCAAGATGACAGATTTTGAAATCTCTGCCTTAATGTTTCCTTTGTCAGCGAGGTATTAAATAAGTAATTGCTTAATACCGCTGAATTGTAGTATATCTGGTTGCCTGGGACTTATCAGAGTGCGTAGCGCTGTATTCCGTTCAGCTCCCATATGCGTCCTTGCATAATCGTTGGCCAGTTGAATTGCCCATTGAAATCGTTGGAAACTTGCACTATTAAGTCTTTTCCGCACTTGCAGTTTGTCATTTATTGCATAAGCTCTGAACTAATGGCGTTCCATTGGTCGTTTTTAATGCTCATTTTGACACCACTTTTGTGTTCTTAATTCATTAATGTTCAAATTAGTTACTCTTACAAGTAGCGCCGTAGGCTATGTCTTCATAAAAGTAATATAGATATCGTAATTCAATAGGGATAAATAACATGCTAAAAGTGTATCGATATTAGCCTAAATAAAAGTCATATATCAAAATGTCTTGCCATTATAATGTTAATGATCATATTATTTTTAATCCCTCTCTTATTTCAGCCATATATACTTTAAAATCTTCTTACTCTCCTCCTAGTCTCTTCTAGGAGTGTTCTGCTTCCCTTCTTCGTCCATTCCCAACGGTTTTTAATCTATCCATTGAATCCTTTTTCTTCAAATCTCTTTGGAAAGAATCTTATATCATTCGACTTTCCAATAAAAGGTGGAAAGTCTGATATAACAAATTACAGGGACATTGCAAAACTGTCCGCTATCGCCAGCATATTCGAGAAAATAATTCCTTCGACTTTGCAGCATTTCTGCAAATAAGTTTTTCGAATTCGTGAACTTTAACATACTGCTTTCATTTAATTTTTTGGTAAATGAAGCTTTTCTTTCAAGAATGCAAACTGATCTAATTTACACCGACTGAAGTAAAGCACTTTACCCTGTGCAGCATGACCTTTTATCGTTCAACTTGGTGGTTTTCGGTTTTCCTCCCTCTCTTTTGCTTAGGATTTCGGCCAATTGGATCAGTCATGAAATACAGTCTTATATCTAAATATAAACTTAACTTAAATATATTATGATAGATAAAAACCTGCTAATTGATAGTTATATCGAATTTAATGGCTAAATTATTTTCGAAAATTATAGCTATATTCTGATAGATAAATACCTGCTGGATCATAGTTATATCGAGGAAGGCAAACTGGCTTAATTATTTTCGAAAATATTATAGGTTTCCTTAGTCTCAACAATGCAATATCGTTGTTATAGGTATCTGAATCAAAGTTTTTATGCCTTATAACAGCAGTTACCGCACGTTGGATTGCTTGCGACTCAGATGTTATTTGTTGGTCATGATCGCCAAATATAATTCTGATTTTGGATCTTCTTAATTTTTTTATACAATGAGCTGCTGAAATAACGTAGTCTTTTGTTAACAAAGATCCTCCGCAGTGAAATTTGCCATCATAAATGATTCGAGCCATCCATGGGAATTGGTTTACTCCTGTTGGTTTTCCACCGACAATGCGATTTTCTTCATTCGAAAATCCACAATCTAAAAATAAATAACAGGTATACGTTTTATTTTTAAATTTAAGTCGGCCGCCTCGATGATGTTATTAATTCGTTGAGAAAAGCACATTCGGAAAATGGCAAAAGAAGCAGGCAGCGCAGTCGACGCAGAGAAATAAAGCATGGCAGAGGAGTCAGTAAGGAAGGGAAAAAACGACTTTGATGTTAACTGCGCAGTGGGCGCGCACATAAGCGGTGATGGGCTCGAGCGCAGCAGAGTCAGTCGGCTACGGACCTGCAAGCAACGCAAAATAAGTTTATTGGAAAGCGTAGTACTTGGTGCACAGTGCACGGGTATAGTGCTCGGTTGTGATACAAATAGTTAGTGTTTAATGAACACCAGTGCGTAGCCAATATGACTGGTGGCGATGTATAGTATGACGCAACCATCGTCACACAATAAAAGAAAAGGATTGTGTATTAGAAACAAAAAAGTGAAATGCATTATACAAATACCTGAGCCGCGGAGAACTTTCCCCTGCTTATTTGCCAACAGGGTGCGTATGTGTGTGCATGTCGGCCCGCAACGTGAGCTGGAGTTGTGGGCGCCATTGATGAGCTTGGGAGGCAGTTTGCCGCAGCTTATACCCTACACATCTTGAATATTCGCCACATTAGCTTGCAGCTTGTATGACCCTGCCGAACGACCGCGACGGTGCAAGTTGCCGTCGGTGAGTTCGACTGCCATTGTTGATCGTTGTGGCGAAGTTCAAGCGCATATTGAGATATGCCAGCTCATTAGTGTTCCCAAGAGTGAATTGAAGGCTGCCTTTTTTCGGGCTCGCGCTTTTTATGCTAGGCCAGACATTTTTTGCAACAAAATCTTAGCTTAGCGTAGGAAGGCTCCTATCAGTAGCGGGCCACGATTGGAGTGTCCTATAACTAACCTACTCGGACAGAATGCTCGTTCAACGGCCGATCGTAGACATAACTTACCGGTCGACCGTGATTGGGCGTGACAGCCACACAGCGCCCAAGCATAGCCAGTCGCAGTCAGCTCATTCCATTCCTGATTTCTAAGAAAAGGTTTTCGACATTGAACTGATTATATTATTGAGTTATTTCACCAAATAGTGCGAGATTTCGCTCCGATGGAAAGCGGACTCATTAATAACACATACAATGACAGTACCCTACATTAAAAAAAATATGCTCTTAAGATTTTGTTGAATTTTAACTTAACTACTACTTTTTAAGTAGTGCCCAACGAGAAAATAACATAACCCAACAATAACTGATACACCACCGACGGGAGCAACAGATTGCAAATCCCAATAGCAACAGAAGCTGCATACAACGTCACCAGCAACTGAAAAGTGTTACATCAGCAAACAACTAGAGCAGCATTAAGCGTCAACAGCGACAGCAGTAGTATTCATTAGCATTCAAATTCACCACCTACGGCAGCTACAACATAACATACAACATATTCATAATAATTTAATAATAACAAAGAAGTAATTTATATAGACCGCTCATTTATATACTGTGATTTTAGATTAAAAAAAAAACTATCTAAAATCGAATCTTATTGTACTAAAAAAAAATAAAAATAAATTATTGTGTTGGCTGGCTCGAGGTCGAGATTCATTGTTAAAATAAAAGGTTTAAAAACAATTTATTTAAATATTATTCTGGTTTATACGAATTATTCCGTAATTTGAAGACAGTATATACACACAACTAAAAGGAATGTCAATAGGGTCACCGGGCTCCCTAGGAATCGCAACCATAATAATGGGGCAACTGTTGATCAAAATAACTAATCAATTGAAAATAAAGCCAAGACTTTTGACGAAATATGCACATGATATTTATAAACAAACCTACGAATACGTTACGAAAATTATTTAAAAAGATAAAGTCAAAAATCCTTATGACCGACAAAAGCAACATAATTTACCAATTAACCTAAAATAAGGGCAATAGTGTTTACGTAGGGACAACTCAATCCGACCTAAACTAAGGCATAAGGCATCATAAATCGACCTCAAATTAAGACATCAAAATAATATTCAAAAAACCGCACTAATCATCCACTGTATGAGTATTTTTCAAAGCAGATTTTTTTGTGATATAGAATATTTGTATATTCTCTAAAAATCAATTGCATTAAACATGTGGCTTAAATTGGTGATAACTGGAAGGTAGCGATATCTATGAAGTGGGACGTACTTGATATATATATATATATATATATCAAGAAGCAAAATAAAAAGTTCGATGACTCTAGCTCTTCTAATTTAATCAAATTCGTACGTTGCAGCAGTACTTGCATACGAAATCAGTATGTTATAAATCGAACAAGGAGAATTAAGAATGGCTATTGCCATACCGCCAAGATACCGAATCAATAGACAACCCATCCTAATGCTTTTGAAAACATATAATAAAAGAAAAAGTGGAACTAACTCGGATCAAATTGAATTGTTTGGAAAAAACTCGACACCTAATGCATTTCTTAGATAAAGAAATGCTGATTCAGAGGGTATGTGACATTGTTTAGAAGGATATAATAAATGTAATTTTCTGTGAACTCTAAATATTAACATTTTTATAGCCCAAGTAAATAGACCCATACCTGACGGCATCATTTCGCCAAACAAAACGCATGATAACCGATACTTTAAACAAGTACGAACAAAAAGAAATAGCTGCCATGGAACTCAACTTTATTTGTTTTATTCTCGCAGACCTTGGCGTAAAACTTATAGATAAAGCGGTAAAACAGCAGCAGACGGCACAATGAACTGAACGCAGACCACATCTCGCTTATGAGTGGAGACAATTTGGAGAGAAATTGAAAATAAAAACGCTCCTGGCAGAGGTAGAAGCAGGGACTCCGGACTTTAATGACCCTGAAAGGCTAAAAATTACCCAACAGGAGCTCATTGAATTTGAAAATAAACAGAAATACTTAAATAGAAAAATGCAAGAAGAGTTCAAGATGCAGTCAAAATACAAATAAAAACGAAGTACCTAGGTTCCCGCCTAGCGAATACCCTGAACCCTTATATTCTAACACCAAATGCAGTTAGCGCAACGCGATCGTTTGAAATAATAAAGATAAATTAAAAAAAAAGTTCCATTCTTGACTACTCAACAGCCACACCAGCAAAAAAAATTGTTTTTCTCGGCAGGGCTCGAATTTGGGACAGACAACTTTCACAAAAAAAAACAATCGCTATTGCAATGTTGTTAATAGAATTCGAAGCAAACGCGCATGAATGTTTGGCTGTCAATATCGATTTTTATCGATTTCTTGGAAACGGAGTGAACTATCGATTATCGGAAACAAACTCGATCTGCGCATTGGCTAGGAGGACCTACAGCTAAAATCTCTAGCGCTTATAGGTTATAAAATCCTTGCGTTCATACATACGGACGGACGGACACACAAACGGACATGTCTTAATTGGTTCGGCTGTTGATGTTCATCATGAATATATATATTTTATGGGGTCGAAGATGCTCCCTTCTGCCTGTTATATACATTTACATTTAAACAGATAAATTATACCCTTTTTACCCATTTTCAAGGGGTTCAGGGTATAATTAAAAAAGAGCCTAATAAATACATAACACTTAGACAAAAACTTGCTCTAAAGAATAGCATACATAAATACCATACAACTTGAAATTCGTATGCTATTTATTACACTCACAAATATGTTTTCTTAGTCAGCATCAATTGCTGTCCGTCCGTCTGTCCGTCTGTCCTAATACACGATACAACATGAAAATACTAAACAAATCCTTCGCGATTATTATTTTCCACAAATAACGAACTTAGGCAGTCCATTAAAAATAAAATTGCAAAGGCCCAACACAGTAGCATTGAAAGATCCAACAACATCCAAGACAAAACAGGGTATTTCTTTAAAGTTTTCGTAAGAAATAATAGACGATTAGGAAATAGGCAGGTAGTCATGAATACACAAACACAGGCACAAATGAATAAACTCACAACACGGTGAACGAAATAATTAAAACTAAAATATTTATATAAAACACTATTAGCAAAAAATAGAATACTTATAAATTAAGTATCCCACTTGATACTCACAATTACACTAGCCAAAGCGGGTATGATAAATTCCCCAATATTTGACAACGATGATTTAAAATCAATTATAAATGAACACCCCTGTCGCACCCCTGTCATTTTTTGAAAATTAAGAACGAAATCTGTATCATTACGCTCTCACAGCCGAGAGAGCGAAAAGCTACAAAATGAAATTTAGTATCTGCTTCGGCTGTACAAGGGCCGTGCATAGAGTATTAAATAGATAAAGAGCGGAATATTCACTCCGAGCTTTTATTACCGTTTTAAAACCGGCAGGGTGGTTAAGGTTGGTCAGCAAACGCAATATCAAACTAAAAAAAATAAAGCACCTTTAACATAGGAAGCAACAACAAATCAAATACAGAACAACAACAGTGCACATAAAACCCAACGTTTTCTCGTCGTCTGTTTTGTTAGCTGAAAAGTTCGTGCAAGATTTCGAGGACGTAGAAAACTCAGTGCGAAGAAAAGGGACAGATAATGCTACTATGTTTGTTGCTGGTTTCTCTGTCATTCCTACAAGTCGTCGCGTAGAAACAACAACAACTCAATTTGGGTACTAAATTGTTATCCCAGAGCCGAATCTCGGCGCAAATAGGTAAAAAATTTGAATGCCAGCAGGCCATGGCATTCAGATCAAAGGGTTAAGTGCACGGCGTGCCAACATCATATATTATAACGTGATGAACACAAATTTGGGATAGATCATGCTCAGCGCTAGAAAACTAAGAAAATTGATTTCTTTACTAGCCACAGCCGGAGCAGTGAATAACACACATTTACATTTTTTTATGTAGTTATGCAGGCATAATTCACGCATACAAACAAAAGTGCTCGCACTCCATTGGCTGAGACAAGAACTTTTCTCGAGCTTACTCTCCAAAAACAAAAGTGAAATCAATCTATGTGTGCTATTTTCTTAGCATAGTTATTGCACAAGATGCGCATTGTCTAAAATTTATTTAATTCTTAAATTTTCCTGTAAAAGTTATCGTTAGTATCTAGGGTTATATATGAATTTATTAAAGCATGCATTTCATGGATAAGGCAAAAGCACTTTGCGTCGATCGTAAGTTCAACACTTTTTCGCTCAATGTACTTCGAAAACGAAGCGACGCACAGCACGGTCGACCAGCTTTGGTGAAGGCAGGCTAGCGACAAACTTTGCTGCCCGTTGTTACGGGGCGAAGTGAAAATATCTATTGTCACTAAGTCTTACTGGGCATCGTTTTTTTCTGTAAGCGGCGCTCGCTTCTTACGCTGGAAGTGCACCGTTAGAATTAGTTTGTCCATACAGAAGTCGATTTCACGCAGGTGCACAATTTGGCTTTTCGTCGAGGTTCACTTTCGTTTTGTGCTTGCAGCTGAGCAGGAGCAAAGATAACAAATATTTCAGCCAATCGTACGTAGCGAATTGAATCGTGTATATATTCTTCAAACACCAAATGCAGCACGCGCTCTAACCGCACTATTTGCCACCGTCTCTAGTCAAGAACTATAACAGCTACAAAAAAAAAATATAGTTTCCCTGGTAGGTCTCGAACTCGCGACAGGCAACACCACTTGCGACCTCCTCTTCTAAGCAGCCACACCAATAATTGAGTCTTAGTGAGATAAAACCAATTAAAATAGTAGCACAGAAAAAAACAATCCCAATTTTAATGCCTTTGACGAATAAGAAGAAGACGCGCATAAATGTGTGTGTGTACATGCATACAGATATTCTTCGAATTTGCGCTGGTGCCGTCAACACGTCTTTCTCTGCCGATCTCCATGAATGTTCTACATTATATAATATTATACCATAGAATATTTGTGTATTTTTAAAAAGTAAATTGCATAAGGTCAATAGCATTAAAATTGTGGCTCAAATTGGTCGACAATACAAATTGGGTTATTGACTTGATTTATAGCTCTGCGGTGGTAGCGGGAAGGTGGCGATAGGTATAAAATAAAGATACTTGATATATATAATATTCTAGAAACAACATATCAAGTTTGGTGACTCTAGCTCTTAATATTTACCCAATTTGCTTAAAAAACAACTTGGAAACGGATTAAGGACGAGCTCGAAATTCAGATATCATAAAAACTTCAAATATTGGCGAATTTGCAAGGGACAAGAAGGCGGGCAAACAACAGGCACACACGCGCATAAATTCTTCTATACATATACAAAATATGCAAGTATGCTTGAATAGCGAATCCAAAGTATTTTAAATACACACATGCCAGCGCTACGGTACCCTTACCAACGAGCTAAAATGCAAGAATTTCCCATCGGCAGCATGCCACCGACTTTTGAGAAAAATTGATATTGTGGGAACTTTTGCTTGCGCGGACATATACACAGACTGTAAACGGTTGTAAAACGATTGAAAGAGAATGAGTGTAAGCCAAAGCAGTTTCCTGTAGTGTGATCGAATAAAAAAGAGCAGCGTTGCCACCACAGCGACGTTGTGCAATGAGCGAATGGAAGCTTCATATTGATCGTTCGACTCTCGAGGCCGGCGCACGGCCGACACTCTTAGCACTCTTACTCTCTCTGGCTATAACAAAATGGTCGCAGGCACGCTTAGAGCTCACTCGTGATTCGATTATTCTGCTGTTTGACCTATATATCTCTGCATGGTATGGTTAGTGTCCTTACATATTAAAAACTGTGAGACGACTATAATTTCAAATTATAAATATAAGCTTGTTAAGGGAATTGATAAATTTAATATCAGGCTATATGTTGATATGTGCCGCTCAGTTTTCTGTAATCTATACTTGCATTGACTTCTGACAACTACACCCTTTTTTCCTTTTAAATTAAACTAAATATATTGACGATCTTCATCTCACGTAACACATGTAATACAAATGCGTTAAGTAATTGTGATCCTCTAAGCTTATTAAACGAATTATCCAATTTACTAGAAAGTGACGTTTTTAGCCAATAGTATCTAAAGTTCAAATTTATCACAATTTATGCATTAATATAAACTTACCGCAATCGCATTTTGTAAGATTAGTGCTTTCATTATTTTCCGTATCATCCTCTGGGTCAAACCCGAAGGCACTTGAAACTCCAGAGCTTATTCGAAAAATTGTATCAAAAAGAAATTTACTAGTTCTTTGAGAATTAACACTGTGAAACGAGTGATTTTTAAAAGAGAAATTAGATTCCGTTAACTGTTCGAAACAGGTGACACTTTTATTGATAGCCACCATTAAGATAACTATGTAACATAATATATTCATCTTTATAATTAAGTAAACATATTTAAATTATATATTTTAATTATTACATAAGTATTTAATTTATATGATATTTTCAAAAGTAAATATTGCCACTCGTAACCTCTTCGTCATAAATAGGAACGTAGAGTACAAACCGACTAAAATAATAATTAGGACCAGGGATTTAGTGTACTTTTTAAATTGGCTGCTCAATTTAATGCATTAAGGAAGCTGAAGTATTTACTTTAATTACGGCACACGCTTATTGTGTTGTATTTATGGAAATGTATGAAACTTTATTGTTAGCTATCAAATCGGCATCAAACTCAATGAAAATATATACATAAATACATGTAGATAAAACAGTGTCCGTTCGTCTTTTTGTATAAGCGCTAACATCGATCTCAGAAACGTAGCAGCCTAGTTCCACTATCAACATTTAATAAATTTGTTTGTGAATGTGAAGTGTGTTGCTTTTACGTGTACCCATAGGAAACCCCATTTTTCACATTTGCAAAAAATGTTGGTATTCGCCCAGAATAATTCGTGTTTTTGCGATGATTTATCGAAATTTATATCGATGTTATAGGAAATATGGAATTATCATTTCCACAAACAGCTTATATAATAAACAAGTAAGAGGTTCGAGTTGGGAGTTCCCGACTAGGGGATACCATGAACCCTCTTATTCCAACACCAAATTCAGTTCGCGGAACGAGCTCAATTTAAGTAGTAAAGAAAAATTAAAAAAATAAATTTAATGAATAGGCTAATATGATCAGTCAATATAATTATGAACATTATGTAACATATGTATATAATCGATCCTTTGTATTTGGTATATTTATTTAATTTTTGAATTTCGGCTGATTATAAAATCATTTAGGTGATCAGTCATTTACGTACATATGCCAGAAGATGACCCTTTCGGCCCAACGGACTGCTGCAGATAATAAGGGATCAACATTCATTTCCAATTCAAACACGAAAAAGAAGGCGCGCGTCAGACGCATGCCAATAATGCATTTTTTGCGCCCATTCACACACATTTGTGTGGATGTGTGTGTTTGTGCTTAGCGCCCGATATACAGAAATCACAAAACTTCAAATCTTGTACAATTTGCACCGGGGAAAGGCAGGCAGGCAAGCAACAGGCACACAAGCAAAAATTGTTCTATTCATATACAAAATATGCAAGCATGCGTAAATAGTGAGTCCAAAATATTTTCAATGCACCCTTACCAACGACGACGAGCTAAAATGCAAGAATTTTTCAACGATGTGGCAAACCTTTTTTTACTTTTATATTACTCGTCCCTATATAAGGGAAGAACGCCACCGATTTTTGAAAAAATTGAATTTGTGGGCAATTTTGCTTGTGCGGACATACATACACACACAGACAGTACAACGGTAAATACACAAATCGAAAGAGCACTGAGGGGAAGACAAAGAAGTTTCCAGCAGTGCGAGGGAATAAAAAAAAGCAACGATGCCGTTTTATGAACAGGAGAAAAAACGAAGGCCCCTTGGACCAGCCGCACAGAAAACGAGCGGCCCCATCGCCGTACTCTAATTGTCCAGTTTATATGTTGTTTGGTTAGTGTTAGTGGTCAAAGGAAAAGTGAGTGAAAGTTTGGAAATATTCATTTCTGACCTATATCATGCGTTTAGCGATTTCCGTCCCTTATGGATAAAAAGTGCAGGTTAAAGTTTGTCCTGCGATGTTACGTAGTTTTTATAATTTGTATAAAAATGTATTTCAGCCTTCAATAAAACTTAATGAGCACTCTCTTGAATGAGTTAGGAAATACTATCGTGGAACAACTGTGGAACATTTGCCGGAAAACCGTTGGATGCACTTATTTGCTTACACCTCGATCAGTGTCAAACTTGTTTTTAAAGAGTTTTTCGAATATAATTTCTATTTAACACCTCTTGAAAAATTCTCTGGATGAAAAATGCTACTCGTAAAATCAGAGTATATATATACACTAGTCGGCATAATTATTTTGACAAAAGAAAAATTGTGCATTTATAAGTTAAATTTTGAAACAGCTTTGTTAAGAATTCTTCTTTATTTTTTTTTTTCATTTTTATATATAACTAACTAACTAATACAAACGTAAAAAAGCCAAACAAATATATATTCATAGAAACGTAAAACGAATTAGATTAATTAGTAACTTCATGTGTTGGCACAAGTTTTTTAACAAGAAGGTAATACGAAGAAAACTATATTTAAACTTATCCAAAATACGATTTCGATATATATTTGACCTATTACTTGGAAACGAGGCAAGTTATCTACTGTCGGAAAAAAAACTGAAATGGTCTGGAGCTACCGAATATACCATACAGGACATACATGATTTGTTTCCACCCTCCAAGCCGCCGAGAAACGGTCATTGCCCAGACAAGACCAGCGCAGCATTGTGACACTTTGTTACTAGTAACTTGCGCTGCCGCTCTACGATCACATCTACAATCCCGAGGACAACGCCTAGGACCAAGGCCAAGGACTAAGGATGGACCTTATACTAAGTCTAATTTTGTAAGTAGTTGAGATCACATTATGTGACCGTCCGTCCGTCCATCCATCCGCCTTGTCCGTCCGTCCATCCATCCGGGCTTTAATGAACCATAGTGGAAGGGCATGTTGCGTATTTCGTAAATCATTAGTCAAGTCGACTCGAACGCGGAATGTGCCCCACATATAATTATTAAGTGGCCTCCTCGTGGTGACCCTGGGTGATTGTCTGAGGCTGATTCGGACAAACAGTTAATTAGATCGGCGAACAATATTAAGACGACCCATTCTTAGTACGGCGGAGGCTAAGCTGGGAAGTATACATCTACGGCAGTCGACCAAAACTGTAAGTAGGGTAGGTGGGAGCCTACGGATCTTGTTCCGTCCTGACTTTTTGGTTGCGGACCTGCGGGGAGTATCGTGTTGGCTGTGGCTTATATCCAAATCGCGGGTAAAGTTTTGCTCGACGTGGAGTTGCTTTTCAACTTAAACAAAGCTTTTTATGAGGTTTTAGTGTGCGTGGTTCTAGTGTGCGTGGTTTTCCGACCCAAAAAGTTATCATGCACACATGCCAGCGATCAGGTACCCTTACCCCTACAACAAGCATGGAAAATAGCAATTTAGCACATGAACAGGCCAAACCCTTTAATAATTTCACACAACTGCTTACTTGAAAGAGTGTGCGTCAATTTTTGGTCTTTTCTTAAATTCTTCAACAAGCCGACGATGAATTACCCTTGCAGAAATACGTCTTAGATATTTTTGTATTTTAAGCAAAATAGGTCCCTACAGAAAACAGAAAATAAATATAAATATTTTATTTAGGTTAATTAATTGTGTATTAAATAAAATTTGATCAAATTCTTCTCATCATGGCTGACTGGACGAAGAAATACATGATAGAGCATTTAAATGTGAGTGCCTACTGCTACCACAGGCACAAAAGGCACACAATTGAAGAAATAACCTCTGCTTCGCGACAAACGCCGCGATCTACTTGTGCGCACATCCACACAACAAAAACGTATGAACGTTTTTAGATCACGGGGTCTTGTGGGAAGCTGTGGGAAGCTATGTTTTTGGGCTGTAAGGATTTGAAAATGGCATACATACATATATTAAGAAATCGCATCAGCCGCGACGTTGTGCGCTGAGCGAGATGCGGCTTCATACTGAACGTTCAGAGTCTGGGCACACTAAAATGGTCGCAGGTACCATTGGGGTCGCCTCGTTTCGATTTTTCATGTTTCGATTAAAAGTGCCATTTGGTATGTCTATACATTGTATGGTTAGTGCTATTACTTAATTCGTTTTCAAGTAATCGATAAGAATCGATATCGAAATCCTATTTTTTGAGCGAATCGGGTAAACAATAGGAGCTACAGCCAAGTGATATGTTTATTTTTGAAAAGTATGTGTATATCAAGTATCTTTCATTTTATACCTTTCGCTACCTCCCCGCTATCACCACGGACTCATAAATCTAGATATTAACTTGTATTGCCAACCAATTTAAGCCACAATTTATATGCAATAGACTTTTTGAGAATACACAAATATTCAATAGTACAATAAGATATACTGTATAAAATTTCATGAATATCGGTTAAGAAACGCGTACATGTACACACATTTATGCGAGTCTGCTTCGAGTTCATCAGCGGCATTGCAATTGCGAGTGTATTGTAAATTTCATGAAGATCGGTTAAGAAACGCGTATGCGCGTTTGCTTCGAATTCATCAGCGGCATTGCAATTGCGAGTGTATTGTTTTCTGTCGTACTATTTTAATTCGTTTTTTTTTTTTTTGCTTACTAAGACTCAATTATTTGTGTGACTGTTGAGTAGAGGCTGTGGCGCGTGGTGTCACAAATAATTCCAGATACCAATATACACAACAACAAGGCAGAGAAGCTTTCACAGCCAAAATACAAAATACTTAATCTAGAATGACTAGCAACAGATAGATAAACCAAGAACCAACTACAAATTAAACATTCTCAGATGTCTACTGTTGGGAAAGTTAAGAAACTTATCCGAAACAGTAGAGTAGGATCAGGATAAGAACTAGTTTATCGGACATTAGGGAAGATCCCGAAAAACAACTACAGACTGTGACAAGAATACCCAATCAAACTACGATAACAGCAAACGATATGGACCTAGCTTTGTCCCTTATAATCCCGGACGTGATCCGCTTCCTACCGCTGTTTCACGGTTATCCTAAAAAACTAAGCGATTTTATTAATAATGTAGAGGAAATCCTTCTCCTAATTTGAGGAACGGATAAGACGCCATATGAACAAATGATCCTAAGGGCTATTGGAAAATTGAAGGCAAGGCTAGTGATGCGGTCCACACATCTGGAGGCAGCCTTAATTGGGATAGGATTTAAGATGCTTTAATCCTACATTGTTCCGACAAGCGACACGAACAAACTCTCATGTTCGATTTACATAGCCCTTTCTCAACACCCAATACAATTTCTTTTTTTAATTTGCGAAATCAGAACAGCCCCTTTTAAATTTACAGACACAAAAGAATGCGAACCAATATTGAATACTTGTTTAAAAGCGTTGTTAACAGGGCTCAGAACTCCACTAGGATTAGCAGTAAAATCGATGGGGCCCACTTACCTTCAGGAAGCCTTCGAAAGGGCTATTAAGGAAAGGGACATTTACTTTCAAGAAAATAGGACGAAGCAAGAAGCAGAAAACAGAAAAACCAATCTGACAGGCATCAAAAGGGATATCAATGCGACCAAAGTAACGGCTACAAACCAAGAGAGAACGGAAAAAAGAAATAAAAAGGACAATTACCAACATAAAAAAAGTAACGTACCGGCAATAATGCCAAAAGACCAGAACGAAAAAATAAGACATGAAAACTAAAACTCAAACAGAACCAGGGGTTCAGTGCATAACATGGAACAGACTTCTACGGATTCTGCGCATAGTTCTTACCTACACAAAACAAACAAAAATAAAAGCCAGGTTTA